ACTCTGGCATTTGAAGCACGCAAGTCTTAAAGCTGTCAAGTTACAAGACCCTTGCACCCCTAACCCTTTAGATATATACATACATTTATACATATACATATACATATACATATACATATACATATACATAAACATATACATATACATATACATATACATATACATTCTATCATTTTTCTTAGTGTTTTTCCCTCATCTTTTTGGGGAGAGGGGCGGAAGTGGCCAGATTTAGAAAAAAACATGTGCACTATAAATGAATTAGATCAGCTATAAGCAAATCCATATGCATGAAATTAAGAGGCTTTAATATTACAAGACAATCTGAATATTAGAAATACGTCATTTATACCCCTTAATTTTCTTGTGTGTTTTTTCCTTCCCCCTTTCTACTTCCATTTAGCTGCACCATTATTTAAGGAGACTCTCATTTAACAATAGTGTTGAGGAAACCGTTTCTTTTGATGAAAACAGAGAACTGAAAGCTGGGTTTGATATTATCAATTGGGTGACGTTCCCAAATCAGACCTTTCTTCGGGTCAAGGTGGGAAGAATTGATCCCCTTGCTCCAAAGGACCATGTCTTCTCCATTTCTCAGGATTCCATTGTGTGGCCCAGGCCATATCCTAAGGTGCAATGGATATAGTGAATGAGGACCATCTGATTTTAAACATTTTTCTAATTTCTAATTTACTGATTCAGGGGCAGTGGTGGGATTCAAAATTTTTGCTACCATTTCTGTGGGTGTGGCTTTGTGGACATGACAGGGGAAAGAAATTGCAAAATCCCCATTCTCTCCCCACCCCAGTAACCTGCTTTCCAGTTCTGTTCTTCTGTTCAGGGCAACAAAAGAAGATCAGCTGGGAGGCTGGGAGGCAGCGAGGACCAGGGGCTGGTTCTCTGAACTACTCAAAATTTCTGCTACCAGCTCTCTTCATCCACTGGCTGAATCCCACCTCTGTTCAGGGCAGTTTACAAAACTGACCCTGGGCAGATCTTCAGGTCAATATTTGCTCATGAAAATAACTCTGGTTGCTTTGAAGGCCATTGTTTAATTTCTTCTCTTCCTATAGTGATTATTTCTGATAGTTCTATGGGGGAAGTGAGTTCAGAAAGCCTGACCCTCTAAAACACGGGTGTCAAATTCATAGTGTCATGTTGCCGTCATGTGACATTTTTCCCATTCACGGAGCTGGGGTGGCCGTGGTGCCTGCCTGTGATGTATCTGGATTGTAGGCTGCCAATTTGACACCCCTTCTCTAAAAGATGCCCACATCTTTATTTTATTCATTTTATTTAGTTTAGTTTGCCGAACATGTACTAGATAACAGGTGTAACTATAACCATGGACATGAACACAGAAAATGGGTACAAAAAATGGGGACAATAGGAGAGGCATAATAGGCCCGCTGGGGCATTTATGCACGCCCCCTACAGACCTCTTAGGAAAGGGATGAGGTTCACACTAGACAGTTTAAGGTTAAAGGTTTGAGGATGTAACAACAGAATCAGATAGTGCATTCCAAGCATTGACCACTCTGTTGCTGAAGTCATATTTTCTGCAATTGAGTTTGGAGCAGTTTACCTTTAGTTTGTATCTATTGTTGTTGTGCTTAATGCTGAAGTAGTAATTGACAGGTAGGACATTGTAGCGGATAATTTTTTGTACTACGCTTAGGTCAGACCTTAGTCAGCATAGTTCTAGCTTGTCCAAGCCCAAAATTTCAAGCTTGGTGGCATAAGGTATTCTATTGTGAGCAAGGGAGTGTAGTATTCTTCTTGTGAAATACCTCTGGAGTCGCTCAGTTGTACTAATGTTCTATATACAATGTGAATTCCAGGCAGGTGAGCTATATTCGAGAATTGGTCTGGCAAAGGTTTTGTATGCCCTAGTTTGCAGTACAATGTTGCTAGAGAAGAAGCTTCACAAAATTAGGTTAACAACTCTTAATGTTTTTTTGTTTTTTGTTTTTTTTGCAATGCTGTTACAGTGAGCTCTGGGGCTAAGATCATTTGAGATGAGTGCTCCTAAGTCTTATTATTTCCTTCCCTTTCCCTTCTCTTTATTAAACCAACAAAGAAGTTTTTGTCAGTATCAAAACGTCTACTTTCATTTGCCTACAGGAATCACCCTCTTCCTTGTGCAATGACCTTTGCCATTTGGGTCACCAGCGGATGAAAAAGGAAGGCAATCCGTTCTGTTGTTATGATTGCCTTCCCTGTCCAGCTGGGGAGATCTCAAGCCAGATGGGTAAGAGATAATATTGTTGAGTTTCATTGCATCCCATTGCATTTGGTTTAGAATTTATTGCATGGGGCAATCTGACTGTAACATCTGTACCATTGATTGCTTGATCTCACTGCCAACATGGGTGTCACCTTCCTACTCTACTGGTCCAAGCTGTTACTACTAAACTTGGTGGAAAAAGGAATAACTCATTGGATGTACATTTTCCTTATATTTCAAAAACAATGCCCATGTGAATAGTAGTTTCTGGGACTGGGTTATTTGTATGGAGCTAGTTTAGCTTTATTTTGTTGTAGGAAGTCTTACAGATAAATGTATTTAGCATTCAAACTTACTGCAGTCTTTGTCATCATCCAGAAGAACAAAAAAACACATGGTTGTTAGGAGCATAAGAATATCAGGAGGCAAGATAAGCAGTATATAGAACATGTGGAATAAAAAACAAACAAGGGAAATTTCCCTTTTATACTTACAACAACTAATCATAGCGTAGATTGCATCATGTATCAGTACTCTCTAATTAATGAGTCATACACCTCTAGATTGTTCTTACCTATTAAGACTGTTTTCATTGATGAATATTTTTCCTTCTGAATCATTGCAAATTGGTTTGGAGGTCTGGTGTGAGATACCGTATTTCCCCAAAAATATGACTTACCCCCAAAGTAAGTCCTAACTTTGATTTTTATATGTGTATCCAATATAAGCCCCAAAATAAGCCCTAGTTAAGACCCCACCAACTCTGGGATGCACAGGGTGGGGCAAGGCGCACGGGTAAAAGTTAAGCAAAAGTGGGGATCAGGGTGGTGGAGTTGCCCTACTTACCAGGCTACGCATACCCTGACACCTGCCTTACCTTGCAGGCCCACTTCTTCTGCCACCGGTTGCTGCCACGTGCGCACGTTCTCCCCTTCACTCCTGACCTTCATTTCACCATCAGAGGCCTTCCTGAAAGGCCTCTGCAGCCAAGAAATGAGGTTCAGAGTGATGCATGGGCACCCGCTGGCTTCTGTTTTGCTGTCAGAGATCCTTCTGGAAAAGTCTCTGCAGCCTTTATAGCTCTACAGCTGTTATCGGCTGCAGAGGCCTTTCCAGAAGGCCTCTGATGGCAAAACAGAAGGTAGGGGGTGTTGCATGCATCAATCTGGAGCCCATTTCCCAGCTGCAGAGATCTTTCCTGAAGGCCTCTGACAGTGAAATGGAGGCTGGCGGCGATGCACGCAAATGGTAGCAAGCAGCCGCAGGAGAAGTGGGCTGGCAGTGGGCTCCTGCTGGGTGCAAGGTGAATCGGTAATTAGACATCCCCTAAAAAGGGGATAAGACCTGGTGCCTTTTTTGGTGACAAAAAAAAAATAAGACCTGGTTTTATTTTCAGGGAAACGTGGGTAAAGTATCCCTGGAATACAGGATGAAATACATGAAAATCTTTTTTATAGAGAAATTTTCCTCTTTTTTCCAGACATGGATTCCTGTACTCCATGTCCAGAAGATCATTATCCAAACAATTACCAGGATCGCTGCATCCCCAAAGATGTCAGTTTTCTGAGCTACGGAGAACCTTTGGGGATCAGCCTGACAACTCTTGCTGCCTTCTTTTCTTGCACAACGGCTCTAGTGCTTTGGATGTTCCTTAAGTACAAGGAAACCCCCATCGTCAAAGCCAACAATAGGAATCTCACCTATGCCCTGATCATTTCCCTCCTGCTCTCTTTTTTTTGCCCTTTGCTTTTTATTGGTCAGCCAGAGCAGGTGAAGTGCCTGCTTCGCCAAATAACTTTTGGCATTATCTTTTCAGTGGCGGTTTCTTGCATTTTGGCCAAAACACTAATTGTAGTTCTGGCCTTTATGGCCACTAGACCAGGCTCTAGGATCAGGAAGTGGGTGGGGAAACCACTGGCCCAGTCTGTTGTCTTCTCCTGTTCCCTTACTCAAGTCACCATTTGTGCGGTTTGGCTGGCAACCTTTCCTCCATTCCCTGATGTTGACATGCACTCTCTGGCTGAAGAAATTGTCCTTGAATGCAATGAGGGTTCAGCTACCATGTTCTACTGTGTCCTGGGTTTTATGGGCTTCCTGGCCATGATCAGCTTCACTATGGCTTTCCTAGGAAGAAAGTTACCAGACAATTTCAATGAAGCCAAGTTCATCACCTTCAGCATGATGGTCTTCTGCAGTGTGTGGCTCTCTTTCATTCCAACTTATCTCAGCACCAAAGGGAAATATGTGGTAGCTGTGGAGGTCTTCTCCATTTTGGCTTCTAGTGCTGGTTTACTAGGCTGCATTTTCCCTCCCAAATGCTACATCATTCTGTTCAGGCCTGAGCTGAATGACAGGCAGTACCTGATGAGAAAGAAATAATAGACTGAAACCTGTATAATCTCAGATCAGTTAAATTAAACTTTAAATGTTAATCCCATTGTATGGTTTTGAATGGTCACAAAAACATTGTCATTTTGAGATTCAGTGCAAGCCTACATTTTTTTTACTTACCATACTTTTCAGAATATAAGACACAATCCCCCCGCCCAAAAAAAAGAGGGTGGAAATGTTGGTGCATCATATACCCTGTATATGGCCAGTTTTGGCCTCCTAAAACCCTGCCCTGCATGTCCCATTTTTGTGAAAAATTGGCCTGTTTCTGCAAAAAAACTAGGCATGCCGAGGGTTGAGAGGCCTGCAGAGTGCTCCTGGGGCTAGGGAGAGCAAAAACCAGATGCTCAGAGACCAAAACCTCTTTTTTTCTTGTTTTCCTCTTCAAAATCTTGGTGTGTCTTATACTCCGATACATCTTATAGCCTGAAAAATACGGTAATTAATTTACATAGCTGTTTTTAATAGATTGATTTCTAAGGATTTCCTAAATGCTGGTAGTGGCTTCTGGATTTACACTGAGAAGCTGTGGCAGTATTGCTGAGAAACTATAAATTCTTCTTCTCTTTCACATCTCACATGTGGAGAAAACATCTGGGATACACAAACTGGTAATAACCACCCTTGGCTCAAAAACACACGTAGAAGAGCATGTTTAATACTTAAATGAGAGGCCATCACAAAATAATCTGTGTTGTAGTGTAGTTTAGGAAGTAAAATTGGAAAAATGAACTGATCTCATTGTAAGCTGTAAAGAAGAAGTTGGTCACTTCCTCTTTACAGCTTACAACAAGATCAATTCATTTTGCCAATTTTTCTCAATTGGTAGAAATCTAGTCTACCATAATTTTGCTACTCTTCTGATATTTCTGAACCTCAAATATGCCCACACTTTCACAGACACACTTATATACTGTTAAAGTAGTATCCTTTTTTTCCCCTTCAAGGTGGATCTTTGCCTTTCAGGCATTTAAGACAATTTTTTCCAGGGACCATGTCTATTCAAACCCACAAGACCATTTATGACTGTGATGGCGAACCTGTGGCAGGTGTGCCACAGGTGGCACATAGAGCCATATATTCTGGCATGTGAGCCACCAGCTCCAGTGCACATGTGAGTGCCAATCAGCTGATTTTTGACCTTCCAGAGGGCTGGGGGAGGCCATTTTCACCCTCCCCAAGCTTCAGGAAAGCCTCCAGAGCCTGGGAAGGGCAAAAAAACTTTCTGAACTTCAGATAGGCCCGTTGTGCCATTTTTCATTGTTATGTGGTGCTAGAGATTCAAACCACGAAACTGCTGACCTTTCTGATCGGCAAATTTAGCGTCTTAGCCACTGAGCCACTGTGTCCCTTACAGAGACTCTGTCTTAATTGGTTCTGCATGAATATGGCTGAGAAATTCCAGTATTCTGTATTTACCTAGGCTAGAGTTTAAAACACCTTGTAGTTTTCCCTGATATCTTACCTAACTGATGGGGCTCAACAATCAATGACTATTAATAAATAAATAAAAATGGCGGGGTTTTGTACACACAAACTTTTAAATGGTGGAACTCCGCAATGAGAAAAATGAGAAGTATACTAGGGGAAACTATTCTGTTGATACACCAGAAAAAAATAATCCTACCATACAGAAAAGGGATATCAGAAAAGACAGTCAGAATTCTTCAACCTCTAGGAATAGAAATAGCCCACAAACTGACAGCCACACTCCACCAGGAATTATCCAGAACCAAAGACAAGATACAGAAGGATGGAAGAAACAATGTAATTTAAAAAATCAACTTGGAACAACCAACTCTACATGGGACAAACATCAGGTCAATTGAAAGCCAGAATCCAGGAACACCAGCTGGCCATCAAATGTCATGATCCCAAATCTCTAATCACTACCCATGCTGAGATCAAATGCACCACTTGGAGCAATCAAAGAATCAATGGCCATGCTACCACCCACTATGCTCACACGTTTATCAAAACCTGATTCTCAGCAAGCAATTCCATCTACAGACACATTGATCTACAACCAACCTATGAACACCTCAGAATTCAAATCAACCACACAGCCAAACTGAGACAGCACCAGCCCTCAATCAGCCCATGCAACATCCCCCCCCCGCAGCCAGCACTTCACCTCCCAATGAGCTTCACCTGATGTAACCTACCCATCACAAATCCCACCACAAGACCCTCACTTGACATATCCCACACCTGACCCTTCACAAGAGTTGTCACAAGACCCTTGCCTGATGTGACCCACACCCGACCCATTACAAGACCCATAGCCTCACTCTGTCAAGGACCTAGAAGTACTCATCTCAAATGAGTTGTTAACCTAATTTTGTGAAGCTTCTTCTCGGGAAACACTGTACTACTAACTAGGGCATATAAAACCTTTGACAGACTAATTCTCAAATACAGCTCGTCTGCCTGGAATCCACACTGTATATCAGAAATTAATACAATTGAGTGGGCCCAGAAGTATTTCATGAGAAGAGTCCTCCACTCCTCTGTTCACAATAGAATTCCTTATGCCACCAGGCTTGGAATTTTGGACTTGGACAACCTGAAATTACATTGCCTACAGTCTGACCTAAGCGTAGTACACAAAATTGTCTGCTACAACATCCTGCCTGTCAACAACTACTTCAGCTTCAATCTTAATAATACTCATGCAAACAAAAGATACAAACTCAAGGCTCCAAACTCAATTGCAGAAAATACGATTTCAGCAACAGAGTGGGCAGCACCTGGAATGCTCTACCTGACTCCATTGTTGCATCCCCCAACCCTCATAGCTTCAACTTTAAGCTGTCTACCATGGACCTCACCCCATTCCTAAGCGGTCCATAAAGAGAGTGTGCATGAGTGCATCAGCCTGTTCTACTGTCCCTATATATTTATACTCATTTCCCTTGTTCATGTCCATGTTTATACTTATACCTGTTATCTTGTACATGTTTGACAAACTAAATAAA